CCTCCATTATTTGAATGTCAGCAGACAGCAAGAAGCCTCCCAGATCTCCAGATGCATTTGAGATATCAAAAAAGTACTCCAGAGTTTTGTTCAGCATGGGGGTGAGTAGAAAATGAAGGCTAATCATGTTTTGGGTGTACTATTCCTTTAAAGGGACAATAATGTCTCATTATTTACGTTTTTTTTTTAATTTCTACATCAGTTATTTACTCTGGTTGCATACCAGTTTTTCCTGAAACACGACCACGTCTTGATGGTTTGTTTTTTTCAAATTTCTGTCTTTTCCTTTTTGCTTTTGCTTGATTTGTTAGTAGATAAATCCCTTTGTGTATATTTAGAGTAACACCTGACCAGAGGTACGGTACTGAGCATGTGTGCAGGGGTTAAACAACGAACCTTTCACCTGGATCAGAGATGGGAAATGTGGAGTCAACAAGTCATCTCCATGTCATGTATTTGTTCTACCCAGCCACTGAAGCAGGTGAGTCCAATCTTCACCGTGAATCAACCTGTGCAGATTGGACTCACCTGGTTAATTGACTGGGTAGATTAAAAACATGACATGGAGATGACTTGTTGACTCCACATTTCCCATCTCTAACCTGGATTTAATGAGCATAGACTTAAATATCTTTTCTAACTAAGCCCTCTCCTTTTTCTTTCTTATATAAAAGGCCTGCCTTAGCCTGTAGTAACCATGATAACATTACAGGGATATCTAGTGGTGGTGGATCAATGTACAGTATTATATTACGCAATAAAAACTTTACTCAAACAGGTTGGACCTGAGCTTCATATCATGGGGTTCCTCCTCATTTTATTTCTGTCTTTCATTACACCGCAAACAAGCGGCTGTTTTTTGTAATGCTGTTATCACACATTAGGGATGGAACGGGTTATGAAAACTGTCCGAACCGTTCAGTTCGACTGTCTCGGTTCGATTTGCGTGTGTTGCGTTCGTTTCATGCACTACTCCTTTTTCTCATAAACGAAGCGTTTACACTCCAGAGCAGAAGGTGGTGGTACTGCGGCCAAAGCCAACCACCAGTGGTTAACAAGAAGAAGAAGTGAAGCCGCATCACCGGGTGTAGCAGAAAAAAATCAGTTGTTGTGGAGAATTGTGTGGGTATGGCGAGTGGGAAAGAACAGGAGTTGGAAGACGTGCCAGCAGCACTTTATAGGTCTGCTGTATGGGACCACTTTGCATTCAGAGTGACCTACGATGGCGGCGGAAAGAAAGTTATGGATAAAAGTGCAACAGTGTGCAAGCATTGTGCAACACGTTTTGTTTATGCTAACAGCAACACGACCAACATGTCAGGCTAACAATCAACATATATCGAACCGAACCGAACCATGGATTTTGTGAACCGTTCCACCCCTATCACACATCAATGTTCTCTCACAGATATTAATGACTTATAAATACATGTTAAAGAAGTCAATGCTGCAAATGCGAGGACATATGATGTCATGGATGTATGTGATGGATTGTGAGGTGAAACGGCTCATAAAGATACCTGACTATAAGTCTGATGAACTGTCTCCCTATGATTGTTTAATTCTCTGTGAATTCATGCTGCTCATTCGTTAATTGGATCCTCGTCTAAAGGACACACTGTTTTTAATTTTAACATTCACTAGATCTAATGAACCAATTGAATGATTTAATTTTCATTGTTCACACAAAACTACGACAGAACTCGGCTGATTAAATCAAGAAATGAACAAATGTGATTGGCTTTAAGGAGGATGGAGACACAGGACACTGAGTTTATTCAAGGAAACCTAATCTAATTTCTCATTTCTATCTGCAGTTCAGGAGCTTCTGTCTTCTTACCATCCACACCATGAGGTAGGAGAAGACAGCGATCCACAGGGTGGAGGCCACGAAGGTGACCATGAACCAGCGGTGCCAGCGTGGCAGCAAACAGTTAGGCACAGTACAGTAGAGCAGGAGGCCCAGAGGCCAGGTGATGAACCACTTCACCCGCGCACAGCAACTGCCTGTGACAGGAAACAGAAAAAAAATATCAAAGATGCTATCTACCTGGAAACTCCAGCTTCCAGCAGCTGATGATGACAGTTAGAGGTCTTAGTGTGAGCACGGCGCCTGCAGAACTACAGCTCCGTATTTTATAACATTACAACCACACACTTGTTTCTTATTTTATTCTGACTGAACAACATAAAGCAATTCTACTTTAATATCCTTTATTAATTATAATCTGAAACTTGTGGCACACATTTGCATTCAGCCCCCTTTAGTTTTGATGCCACAAAATAAAATTCTGAGCGACCAACTAACTCTGCCAAACACAAGTATTGGAGAGGCAGGAGGAGGATGTGATCCCTTTGGTATTCAGAAGCCAAAATGTATCATGAAACAGATAAATGTGACTGTCCAATAAAAATAAATGAATGTACCATGAAATTAGAGCTGCAGCTATTGATTCTGTTAGCTATAAATTAGGCTTTCGATTATTTTTTTCCACTAATTAATTAATCTAAACAGAAATAACTGGAGCCAGTTAACATTTCTAAATAGATGAACATTTGGAAATGAAAAATAACCTTTATTGTACAAAAACATGTAACAATATGTGTACATATACATGTAATGCTATATATGATAAAAAGATTTGAAGCGGAAATTTTTTTATATTTTTACTAGATTCTTGTTCTTTTTTACTCCTATAAGTAGGTTATTCTTTCAGGAAATGGTCTGTTTTAGATGTTTTATATTCTAGGATTCAACTCAATGACTAGTTTATTTATTTTAAACAGTTATTTTCAATAGTTTTTAAAACTATTTCTTTAATAATGTAATGATCACAATTGCCCTACATAAAATGATTCAACAATTATTTTTTTATCCAAAACATGAATCAAATAAATGAACCAATAAATTGTAAAAATGCACAACTAAAAAATTTACATTTACCCTTAATTAATGAACAACACTTTTAAAATAATGGATTACACTATTAATTGAATTTAAGACATTAAATTTATTTTAAAATAAATAGTTGAGGTAGCTTGGACGTTGTGTTGGAGAGGGAAGTGTTGGAGTCTCTGCTGAGACTGCTGCCCCTACCTGGATAAGCTGGAGACGAAGACTACGAGTAAAAATAAAAATAGTTTTTTCGCTTTATATTTATAAATAACAATAATTCTAAACGTTTTTAGAAGTCTGTTGTCTGCTTCATTTTTATTTTTGGGCCTGAAAAGAAATGTTTGGGTCCTTCTGCCCAAAACATCTGTTTGGCGAAGTCAGATGGCAGCAAAAATATTTAAGAGGAAACTTTATCCATGAGGGGAAGCATGGTGATGGCAGCATCATGCTGCTGGGATGCTTATTTCAGCAGAGATGAGGAAGCGACTAAGAATTGATGTGAAGGTGGATGGAGATAACCAGGAAAATATCTCAGACCGAGAACAATGATCGTAAACAGGCAACCAGAGCTACAAAGGAAGGACCCAGATCAAACCATTACCAGGTACCGGTATTAGCCTGGACCAGGCAAAGTCCACACCTTAATATTAGGGAGAAATCTGTGGAAAAACTTGAAGATTAAAAATCAGAGACAGATTTCATCCAATCTTACTAACCTGGAGCTTTTTTAAATCAGAGGAATCAGTTAAAACATGGAGGGAATCCAGTGCAGCGGTAGATCAGGTGCCTCATATGCAATACAGTGGCTCTATGTAACCTTTATTTATAACGGTAGATCCCACTGAGATTTAAAATATCTTTTTCGAGAGAGACAAGAAAATACATTTAAAATAAAAACTTGGTGAATAAAATCTGTCTCCCTATCTCTATATATATTTTATTATTCCAATTTTGTTATATAGGAAACAAAATGAAAATAAAATGATATATAAACTTTATTTAAACTTAAATTGATTCATTATGTTTGTATCAAGTTAAATCAAACCTAATAATACACAGTTTGCTTCTCAAAGTACAAACAGTAATTTTAATTTTAATCCATCCAGTGCAATTTATTATATTAATTTTGGTCTATATAAAACAAAATTAAGTACAAAAATAAAAATATACATGGGCAGTCAGATTTTTATAAAATACCAACTTTAAATACGATTTCAATTCAGTTGAAACATTTCAAAATAATAAAAACTTCTTTTTTTAAAGGCACTAAACACATTAGAGAAGCTTTAGCCCTTCAACCTTCTCCCCTCCTATCTCCACCCATTTGTTATTAAATTCTGCCAAAAAAGGTCACTGCATATATAAAATAAATCTAACAACTGTTGGATCTATCTAAGAATCATTAGTTCCTTAAACACTATTGTTCAATGTCTTAAAAAAAGGTACAAAAATGTGCAGATACTATGACTAAAGCCATAAACAACTTTTATCTGTTGGATCCATCTAAACACATCTTTAATTTAACATTACTGTTTCATGTAATTAGAGAAGCAAACTGCATTAATAGGTTTGATTTAACTTGATTAAAACTTAATGAACCAATTTAGGTTTACTAAAACTGAAAATAAACCATAAGGTCACAGATCTATTGAGAAACATTGTTGTTCAATTGTGCACTAGGGCTGCATCTAATGATTATTATGCTAATCGATTAATCTGTCGATTTGTTTTTATATCAATTGATTAATAATTGGAAAGCAAAAGAAGATTTTATACAGAGTTTAAACCGGGTGAAGATCAAACTATTCCACATATGGAGTTCTGGATAGAGCACGTCTGTCAGACAAAATCCAAAACACAATTTGTAGTTTGTGGCTTTTATGTAAAACAAATCTGGTCCAAAAAACTGACTGCATGAATCTGTCAGTAAAGCACGAACATCACCGGCATTAGAGGTATAGTGGAGGATGTTCTTTTCATATATATAATATTTCCTCCTAATTTTCAGTAATATTTGGTGATATGTTTACGTAAGGTCGTCCAACGTGCTTGTCCCCTTTTTCAATTACTGGTGGTGAGTCCGACATAGTGGAAAAATTGATGAGCGATACAAACAGAAACTTTTAAACAGAGCGTGCACGAGGAGAATATGGGCTCATGCATGCTCTCGCACCTGTTTAATAGGCGTTCCCTCTCTGAAGCGGGTACTGGGTCCTCCAATATACCTTTAATGAGGGAAAAGGAAAACTTGTAGAGAATCAGCCACCTGTGATCCTCACCTGGCATGCGCACAGGATTAAAAATGTCGTCTTCGTCGTCGTCTTCCTCCTCTGGCCTGCACTCCTCACCTCCTAGCTTCTCTCCTGCCTCTGTGTCTCCTATCCCCGGCGTCCCACCTCCATTTTCCAGACTGCAGGAGCCCGTCCTCTTCAGGTTGTTGCTGGGCGACCCCTTCCTCGACCCGGCGGCGGCCTCACCGTCTCGCTGGTATTTGGAACTCCTGATCAGTCTCTGTCTCTGGTGGCAGACAGAATAAACTTCTAGTGTCAATGAGTCACAAAAAAAAAAAAAAATCTAAACCTAAAAGTTGAAATGAGTACCTCGCTGATAAGCATCCGTCCTGCCATGGAGAGCCTGGTGCGGGGGGAGAAGTGGGGGGTGATCATGATACGCAAACCGGCCTCTGAGAAGGACAGCTTGTGGGGGTTGAGTATGAGCAGCTCGTCCACCATGAGGACGGGCTGAGACTCCTGACCTTGACCTGCGGGAGTTTTAACTCGTCAAGAACAGACAGAAGCAGTCAGAAACGCCTGCTGAGCAGAGATGTTTCCTGACCTTTATTGAGAAGAACCATGGAGGTGTTGCAAGCTGAGGCCTCGTCTCCCGCCTTGTTCTCTGGGTTCCCCTCCGAGGAGCGGCAGCACGGTCTGCTGTTCCTCAACCGGCACATCACAAACACTGAAATCTGGGAGTTGAACCTGCGACCCAACAGACAATAAAAGAGGTTTAAACTTTCAGCTCCATGCATGAAGATGGCAACTGATGTCAGTAATTTCCCTCTGGGATTATTAGAGTATATCAAAAGTCATTGTGAACTCACTTCATGATCACAATGTAGATGCCATACATGGTCATGAGGATCAGCGACTCCCACCTGCACAGAGAACAGCGTCACTGTTATTCATTACCACTCCATACCTGAGCCAGCTTCTCAATATGGATTCTCTATAGAGCACAATCTATGCTTTGTAGTTCTATGCTCTCACTCAGAGATCACCTCAAAATAGTAAAATAACAGAAGTCTCATTCAGACATTAACTGTATCTGTTTTTATCTCTGGTGCATTTTTTTGGTTAAAACAAGTGTGTTCCTCATTAAGTGTAGTTACTTGTAATGGGTGGAATAGCCACACATTTTACCCCAGTAAGAGTAGTGATTCCTCATTTATTTACCCTAGTGAAAGTAAAAAGAATACTGCAAAACTATACTTTTTTACTTTTTAAAACTACTGAAAAACTACTCCTTAAAGTAAGTTTTTTTTTTCTCAAAAGGTTACTAAAGTAAATGCAACTAGTTACTTCCAACATCTAATGGTTAAATAGCCGTTCCTGTAATCGATTCTACCAAATATAAAAGCATTCATTCATTTTTCCAGATCCTGCAGAAATATTAGTCCTTTAATCCTGGTGGTTTTCTTTAGGCCATAGAAAGCAGATTTAATATTACTTTAGCGATAGTTTCAAGGTGTTGCTTTATTGTATGTCTCGTACCATGTCTTTCGGTTGTGCTGTTCTTTTTTCATCTCGGTGCAGGTGATGAAGCAGACTGAAAATGTTTTGTCATTATCTCCTTTCTATCTCTTCTTTCTTTTATTTTTTCTCTTTTTTTTCTTTTTTCCTTTTTCTTTTTCTGTTTTTCTGCTCTATTTACATTGCAGTGTCCATATAAACTGTAAAACTCCCTGCAAAATTATAATAAAGCAATTTGTATGCATGAAAGTAAAATCTGTTGGGCACTTTTTGGCATCAAGACAATTATTCTTATTGCCACATTGCCAGACAGGACACTGTAAAAAAAAAAAAAAAGAAAGCAGATTTTTCACTGTCATTATGAATCTCTTTATGTCTGAGTCCATTACCACACCCAGATTTAGAGCCTGAAGCTGCCTGCTGATTTCTAAAGAAAACAAGAAAATATTGGCTCATCCATGCATTGATTTTTTTTCTATGCATTTACCCAGAGCTTTATTGGGATTTTTATGCTCATGGCATGAAGAAGGAAAGTGGATTCACTTCTTTGGTATGAAGTTAAATCTTTATAGACTTGGGGCTATTTCTCCCATTTATTTCATTAGCTTGTGCTTCAGAATATAACGCCTACAGAGACCCGGGCTGTTAGAGACGAGCTGAAGCTGGGCCTGTGGAGTCATCCCTATGGTCGGTTTAAAGGACCCTGTGTGAGAGAGGAAGGGGTGAGATACTAAAGCATCGAACCAGACTGTAACCTGGATTAGGGAGAGACTTCAGCCACACAGATGGGATTGGTTATAATACAGACGCCAGTGAGATTCAAAATCAACTAACTGTTGCTAATATGTAATGGCCTCTTCCTTTTCTTTTTCCCACTTCTAGTCTACATCCTTTGGAAGGTGACTAGATGAATAATGTGATGACATGAAGTCATTTCTAAACTAACTAAGAGTTACTTAAAGTCTTGCTGCCCAGTCACAAACTAAACCTTGAAGAAAAACACACAAAAAAAACAACATATTCTTTTCCAAATAAAACTAAATATGACAAGAATTGGTCCTGATAAAGTTTAGTATCTTCTTTTTGAGCTTGAAAAGAAATTTTCAAGCTATAGCCAGGATATTCCTGGCTATAGCTAAGTAAAAATATCTGACTCACCAGACAACTCTCTCATCGTAGATAACCTATAGAAGGAGCAGAGCAGAGAGCAGCAGATGAGATTAAAGCACAGAAAGAAAGCATCTGCACCTAAAATGTAGGGCTCACCATTATAAGTGCCAGGACAGACAAGATGTAGTAACAGGAATCTCTAAAAAGTGACCACCAAGTCAGAACCACTTCCTGTGGAGGAAAAATTCAGAGCCAGTCAGTTTAAAAAGGATGGAAGAGCTGAGATGCAGAAGAAGAAACAGAAGAGGAGCATCATTATGCACTGCTTTTCTTAGACAGAAATGAAGAATGTATAATAGAAAATATTGCATTAAATATATATCTTTATATGCACATTCTTCTTTCGTCGTCTTCTGGTTTCTGTGACCTTTAGCATTTTGAGGCGACATCATTTGTGTTGAGTCAGTGAAAGCATTTGGCAAAATCTAACATCAGCATGTAAAATGGAATCAAGAAATAAAAATAGTAGGAAAATATTCACCAAAAATAACTGCAGTCCACACTGCAAAAGCTGTCATCTCAATCATTTTTTAAAAATAAGAGTATTTTATGATTTCAGCAGATATGTGGGGCTATTTTTCAATGGAAGAAGGTAATTTATGTTTACAATATGAAAAAAATGTTTAATCTTATTTTAAGTACATTTTATCTTGTTTTCTTAGTCCAAGGACAGAAATACTGATTTCACTGGCAGATCATCTTATTTATTTGCTCAAATTAAAGGCAAAGTTCCAAAACATACACTTATTTTTAGATCAGATACCAATCTGATTATAACATATTATGGATTCTTAATGGGGAAAAATGTGGATATTAAAAAATTAGAATATCTTCAAATATGTTATCCCTCAATTAGAAAGTGTAACCCACACTGTACAGACTCATTACCCATGGTTTGAAATATCTAAAGCCTCTATTTATGTTAATCTTTTGATGTTTTAATAATATCTATATTTATTATTTTAAATATCATGCATATAACATAAATAATTGTCTTAGAAAATAAGATCATTTCATAAGATCAGTAAAAGAGAGTCCTCTATCTGGAATGTCAGGCTTCTGAAAGGAGGTTCCTTTTTATGTCCTTAATACTTGGATGGGTATCCTTCAGCATGAGCTACTGCATCAGTAAAGCGTAGCGTCGAGGCAATCAATCTGAAGTTTTAATGATGTGGAAGAATCCGCCCAGGTTTGCCTTAAGAGCGGCCTTCAAGTCATCTGCATTTTTGGGTTTGGACTTACTTCAGTAGATGTTTGCAGTGACTGTGGAGAAAACATGGTAGACCAACACCAGCTCATTGCATGGCACTCCAAACCATCCTAAAGGTAGAGACTTTCAATTCAACTTAAAGCACCACTGATTCAATTGCTCTCAACCCTAACTCCAGACTGTGGGATCTTTTTTTTTTTTTGAAAGAAATGCAAACTAGGGCTGAACTATTATCCCAAAAAAACAAATATTGTGATTATTTTAAACCAATATTGCAACTTTATTTCAATTTTACTTTGCACTAACCCTAAGTTCCCCAAAGTTTCACTCCAGGGTTTCAGGTTTTTCATGACTTTGAAAACTTGCTTGTCCTGCGTCGATTGCTGCAGGACTTTACTGTTACCTTTGGGTGAAAGAGTGGTTACTTCTACGTGCATGCACAGACATGCATGCTAGTTGCAAATCTCTCCACCTTTCTTTATACACACACCTTTCTGTGTGGTGTTAAACCCAAGCATTTTACTGCCAACTAAAGAGCCGGAGTGAGAAATTTAGGGTCTTATTTTTTCTTTATGTGATGTGACTAAAATGTTGTGCCCCTCCGAATTGAATATTGTGTTTTGTTAAATTGTGATTATATTTTTTTTCCTCTGTAGCTCAGGTAAGACTGTTAGAGCCCCTGTCTTGGATGCATGTGTGCATATGGGCATTCCATGCTTCAATGGGGACAGAGGATGCGGGATTTCAGTGGTATCCCACAATGTGGGATTTTATAGTTGGCTAATATACTTGTTGCCTCATATGGCCTGTGTTGTCAGTGAGATAAAACATTTTAATTTTTTATAAAATGGCTGAATGAGAAACAAATAAATCTGGTGCTGCTGTAAGATTTTGAACTGACAAGACCCAACAAAAATAAATAAATAGAAAATAAAACAAAGGTATGAAATAAATATACCACCTGGCCTGCAAAGATCCCACTCAACCCGATGATGACCAGGATGTTGAAAACAGCTGAACCCACGATTGTGCCGACTCCAAGGTCGCCTTTGGTGATGAAAACACCTAAAGATGAAAAGCTGTAGTTTGACTGCAGAACTTTCTAAAGTATGTTTTGTTATAAATACTTAGACATAGACTTAATTTATATATAGCAGTTATAGTCTGCTGCAGCTGCATTTTTAAATAACGAGTAATTCAGGATATTCTGTCTGAATCAGTTTTTATACTTTTACTCTGCTCAAATATCCCACACCATTCCATCTCTAGCAAACATTTTGGTATTGATAGAACCTTTTTCTTTTTAAAAACTATGAATTACTTAAAAACATTATAAGGCCACAGAATCAGCAATGCTGGTTCCCGTTCTAGATTCATAAAGCTACCAACCAATCAGAGAGGTGAAAAGCTCGGGGGCGGAGCTTCCGGCAGCCATAAATGTTGCCCCAGCCACATCCTCACTGAGATGCAGGTTCTAGAAGATGAAATAAAAAATGGAGTCTTGAATAAAACAAAAAAAGTCAAATAAACCTATAAAAAAAAAATCAGAAAATTAAATGTGGAAGAAGGATGGGTTTCCTGACCTCAGATATTTTCTCCAGGGAAGGGACGAAGTAGTCATCACAGACGATGGCCAAAGCGTAGAACATGTAGATTGCCTGGAAAGGATAAAATAAAGAAATAAAACAAAGCGCACAATGACTCAACTTTAAATGCAGCTGCTCGGTTTATGTGTTTGCCACTGTAGCGTTCTGCAGAAGTATTCATACCCTTTGTACATTTAAATATTTTATTAGAACCACAGACTTTAAGCTTTTTTAATGAGGTTTCAGAACAAAAAAAAGTTGTTGACTAGAAAGTTAAGGGAAATAATAATTTTCTTTTACAAAACGTTTCAATCTTCATTCTAATTCTAATAAAAATAATGGAGAGCTTTCGGAAGTCATCAAACTAATATTTGTTGTGTCATTTCATCTCAGTAAAAATCCAGTTACTCTTTGAAAGCCTCAGAGGTTTTTTTGGAAAAACCTCTGAGGCTAATAGTCAATTGATGAATCGGTTAGTGAAATAATCATGGAACCGAATCGATACCTTAAGGAATCGCACACAGACTGTAAATTGTCCATTTGTTAAAAGAAATACCCACTTTCAAAATTACCGACTTGGAGAAACAACTTGGCGGACAAAACTTTACAAAAAAATACATAAATTTTCCACTTAGAATACATTAATCACTGTTGAGAAATTCAAAAACTGGTTCCTTATGATGCAAAATCCCGTTGTTCAATTTTTAACAAAAGGCTTTTTCACCCTAGAATGAATAGCGTACCTCTTTAAGAGGCCAAACTAACAGATCATTAATCAGAGAGGCAGCTAAAAAGCCTGAGATTCAGATATCCAGAGCTCTGCTAAAGGAATCCTTAAATAAAGCAACTCAAAACCTGGAGCCAGAAGGGCATCTGGTTCAGATGCTAAGGCCATGTAGAATGCGTTTTAAGGGGCTTCATGGTGTCTTGCAGTGTACGTTTGGAAACTTTTTGCCCGTTTGGCTTGAAGTGCGTTAAGCGCCTCTAGAAAAACTAACCAAAATGCATTCGGTGTGAATGCACCATTAGAAGTCCTTACAGCAGTTTGCAATAAAACACTTAATAGGAAAATATGAAGAAGTTACATTAGAGCAAAAATAAGCTTTGTGCCTTATTTGCAAAAAGTACACCAGTGGCAGCATCATGCTGTGGGAATGTTTTCTTCAGTAGGAAAAGTGGAGCTCCTTATAGTTGACTGCATGGATGGAGCTAAACTTCAGACGGTCCACGTAGTGGGGAGGAGGTTCACCTTCCAGGAGAGCAATAACCCAAAGCTAGGGCTGAGCTATATGACCTAAAAATCTAATCTCAGATTTTCTCCTACAAAATTGAATCAAGTGAGTTTCTCCCTTACTTAAGTTGAATAATAAAAAAAAAAATAATAAAATAAAAACAGCATATTAGGTCTGCAACCAGCTGCAACAACAATCAATTAATCTGTCTGTTATTTTTATAGCCGAAGTTTATTTAAAGAAGATTTTTTCAATGCAAAATGTTTCTATATATTTTTTTTAACAATTTTTATATATTTACTGCTCTAAGTGGGCCGCTCTGTCAGCCGCTCTGTCAGCTAAAGGCCTGTTTTAGAGTCTCTACACTCCAGTTAACGATTAATCAATTACTAAATTAGTTTAAGATTATTTCAATAATCAATTAATCACGATTAATACGATAAATTGGTTCAGCCCTACAGCATATATAGCTTAACTTAAAGTGCAACAAAACTTAAGCTGTGAAAAAGGCACACAACAATGAAAATGTAACACACTAAATGTTTGCAGCTAGCAGTATCACACAATAAGCCAGTTCATCAGTTATGACATCTAAGAGCAAAAAGTGATGAACTGATGTCCCTCAGCGATGAAAGCTGAAGGAGTGAAATAGTGAAGAAAAATCCTGATTTTCCAAAAATGTTCATAAACAGAAAAAAATCCACCGTACATTAAACACACAGCCAGAGTGACAACAAATGGTTAAGATCAGAGATTACTCTGTTAAAATGGTCTAGTCAAAGTCTAGAACTGAATCTAACTGAAATCCTGTGATATTAAATCTCTAACACCAGAAATACTCACAGCTATGATGACACCTAAAGGCTGATCTCAAAAATTGCAAACATCTTATTTAGTTATTTGTAACAAAAAATAAAAGAAAATAAAGCCCATCATCATCCCCTTTATGATGTCATCCTACTTTTATGTGATATTCATATGAAATTCAAATAAAATATATTAAGATTTTATGGTTAAATTTGACAAAACATGAACAAAGTCTGAGTGTTTGGACTACTGAGCTACTAAACACATGATGAGCAAAAAGCAAGTTAATTTGTTAATAAACACTCACGCAGAGAGCATGGAGAAGCACAGCCCCATTCTTCCTCTGCTCCTTCGTAAAGATGTCCTCAGGAAACTCATGGATAGCTGTAGGGAGATTAACATTATTTATATAAATAGAACAAACACAGCATTAGCATTTGGTTACATCACCAGATAAGGTTTACATCAAGAACCAAAGATAAATGCTTCTATTATGCTTATGATCAGATATTTCACTGGATTCCTGAAACATTAAACAACTAAAGTAAAGCTTGGCTGTTCCCTTGCCATTGCCAAATCCAGCCTCGAGAGTGTGGTGCAGCTCTAGTTCACATCTCAGCGCGGTGCTGGATGAATTTAAACTACAGCGCAGCGTGAGGCTATTAATAGCTCCTTTGCTGTGTGAGACAACAATGAGCCGACATGCTCACAATAAGCGCGCTGTAGCTGTGGAGATGCACGAAGGCTACATGGATTAGGACCGGGTCCCTTGTGATCTGGGATATGAGATCTGCTCTTTGACACTGCAGCAGTGTAGAATGAAAGTAGGGAGGCCATATGGTCCCGAGGAGAGGACTTTAATTTGGACATGTTCAGAGCGAACACATAAGTTCTTTTTGTGGATCCCTTTTAATACTAAAGGGTTGAAACGGTTTTTGCTTCCTGCGATGGATCTATTTTTGCGTCTGCTGCTGTTGCATGATAGTGTCTGTCCAGTGCTTCATCTGTAAGGAACATTTCTGGGCATCTCAATCCAAAAACACAGCCTGAATGACGAGGTGCGGTGAGGGTCTTCTGAAGAGGCCTGTTGAGCTGATCAGCTGTTAAACATCTGCGCTTCCCCTCGTTTTTATCACCTTCCTTCCCTCCTCTCTCTGTCCAGACACAAACCCTCGGGTTCTACGGTCGGGAAATATCACAGGACTAGCTTTGGATGGGCACTTTAAGGGGTTGCTGTGGTGAAGGTAGTTGCTATGGTGGACCTCTCCCAAGGGGCAGCTTTTTTTTGTGATGGGTGCCGGTACAAAGCCAAAGGCTAGCTGACTGCATCAATAATGAGAAAGGGGGAGGTGAATATATTTTTTCCCATAGCAGAGTTTTATGAAAATAAAAAAAAAATAGAAGAAGTGACAGCAGCTTTGGACTGAAATGTCTAAAAATATTTATTTTTCCTTACAAATCCTCTGGAGACATCTGAGAGAGGGCAAGTGAGGCAGAAGGAGCACAAAGACAGAAGATTACAGAGCAGAAAGTGAGCTTTGCAAAAACTCTTCTGGAAACATCAGGGTTGGAGCTGACAGTACATCTGCGCCTCCTCAAATCAAACTAGATCAGCTCCACAGAGTCACATATTTACCCCAAACAAGGCAACATTTGCATGAACCACCCCCGTGTCTCTCTTCCTACAAAGGCTTTCTGCAGGATAAAAAGATGCTCGCACACGTCGTCCACCTCTGATCTCATCCTGCCCCAGATTTAACCGCGACTCACATGCCACCTTCACATTCTCACAAAAGCTGAAGTATAGACAGGTGATAGAACAACTTGTTCTAAATCACACTAGTTAGAAGCTATCCGTAATAAATGCTGTTTTATGCTTTTCCTGACTGGACTTCCTAGAAGGCAGAAGCTGAAACAATTGTGACTGAATGAAACCATAAACTGCCTCTAAAACAGCTCTGAAGCACCTCAGTAAGACTTGGATTAGGGGATGCAAATTAAAAAGATTTGTTTCATTAAAAAAGGAAATAAATATTGCCTAAATTTAGCAGCAAACCTAAAGAAGAAAACAGCATTGAAGAAACAGCATATCATGAAATAAGTCCAGGATATCAGATACTAATAATCATTGTTGTCAATGTTCCATTGTTTCTATTGCAATAATAAAGTAAAAATCACAAAAGCATGATACCTCCAGCTTAAATATAAAAAACTCTGTATCAATATCAGCGATACTGATTATGTATTTAAAAGGTATAAAATTGATAAAAAAATTCCCAGTATGGCCGACCTCTATCTAGCAGCACGGAGACATTGGCTGGAAGGCTAAACGGCCAAAGCCACACTCAGTGGCCGCCCACCAAAGTTTGGTTCCAGCCAAAGCCATAGAGATAAGAGAGTTCTGAAAACTTCATTGGTGACAATGGGCAATTCTGCAAAGAGAAATGTGGAGCACAGATCTTACATTTCTATAGACATTAGTAAACAACAGGAAAATAGGCAACAGATCTTAAATATCACATGACGTTCTCTGCTTCTACCTTAAGTAGAAATAAATAAAGAATATCCTTGCATGTAACCAATAAAACAGTTTATTTGTTATATGCAATATGAATATAAGAGGTAAGTATCTATAAGATCTACATCCACTTAAAACCTGTTATGTTAGTAGGAAATTATATTTAGGTTGCTTTACTCATCTTTGATCTTTTAAACAAAATGTTCACATCTATAGATGTCACATATGAGTCAACTGAATATGACTGAAACAGGCATTAGATTAAAAAAAAACATTTCACATTGCTAACAATAGATCTGATACCTGGTTCAGATATCAGTGATTTTATATTGGTGATCCATTCCAGTGCACTTCAATTAAATTAAATTCATTTTATTATTATAGCACCAATTCACAACACGTCATCTCAAGGCATTTTACAATTCAACCGGATCATACAGTCAGATTGATTCAAAGTTTTCTATCTAAGGAAAACCAGCTGATTGCATCGATTCATTGACGCAAAGGCAATCCCTCCTTATGGAACTGTTATTTCTTTCTTTTTCCTGCTTATTTCTTTATAAATAATACTAAGTACATTCATATCTGTGTTATGTCGTTACCTTTTTTTTTTTTTTTAGCATTTTTATGTCAAAGCTAGAGCTTAACTCACATGGCAAAATATATGGTTCATTCATTCAACAGTTGAAAAAGAGCGGATATCGGCCCATACGCTTGGCCCAGGTGTCGTATCAGATTGAATAAAACTGGATCGGGACATTGCTAACTAACAACAGGACTATAATATGAAGTACAACCTCTCAAGCTTTTTCTTAATAGTTGTGTATTTTGTGAAATAATTACCTTAAAGCTACAGTGTGTAATTTTCAGCGACATCTAGCGTCCAGTCTGCAGACTGCAGCAACATGAACATCTCCCCCCCACCGCTTCTCCCCCCCAACAGTACGGCGAGCGTTACGGGACAAAATGTCTTCCATGACGTCCGCATCACTTACCTTCTCAAGTGATGAGGCTTGTTTACATAGATAATTTTAATACTGCCATCTATTGTTCAGTACCGTCTCAGTTCATCTCTCTCAACTTGCCGTAGTGACTTTCGAGCGTAATGGGCGATCTCGCAATCGCTAGTTTGTTGGCTCTGCGCTGCCGTAGCGCAAAGATGTCTGCCTCCATGGCTGCGAGACCCGCTCCTATGTAATTATAAATAACGAATTCTAAGGCAACGCAAATATTAAGGTTAAGAGGCTGAGCTCGTAGATGATGATAAATAACATAGTTATGTAAAATATATTACATTTCTGACTGTATATCCCTGTAATTATTACACACTGTAGCTTTAAGTATTGAATCTGTCCCAAATCTACAGGTATTGAGAATTGGCTAAACTATTGGATGCCCTAGAATCATAACTCGTTTGGTCCTATCTCCAGGCTCTGGTTCTATTCAATCACAGAGAAAAGTTAAACAGTTGAAGAAACCATGAGAAACCGCAACAACTTGTGCTTTTTTTTATGCTCTCACTGTTCCTCTTTCATGGATTAAATTGTGGATCCTCACAAAACAACAGTGATAGTTGCAGCTACGACTGCAGCCCACCGTTCTGCTGAGTTCTGGGCATCTATTGCTTTTCTCAAAACTATATGTCCCACCCACAACCCTAATACTGCGACGTCATTGGCTGACCAGTTTTGATATACAACAATTGAAAAGGGAGCAGGACAAGATCAATTCTTGTGTGTTTGTGAACCAAATATCAAATAAATTCAGCTTAAAGGCAATGTTACAGCTGTTTGACAGCTAAAGGTCCAATCTTTGTCTGGTAAGCGAACACAACATACCCTGATGATTATTGTAGCAGTCCTGCAAATTTTTCCCTACAAATATAGAGTTTTCCATATTTTCATTTTTTAGTCAACATCTGAAAAGGGGTGAATTAATCAGTCAGCCCTGATTTCCTTATTTTTCTAATTCCGTTTCATGTGAAAGAGAATTTATTCCATCATCTTCTCCTTAAAGGACTGGAGATCCTGTACTTGTGCATGTGCTTTTAGAACAAGTTAGCATTGATTCGTTTAGTCTTATTCTATTAAATAATATTGGAAAATTAAACGTTTATTGGGATTTTCTAACATCTGACAGTGTGAGCATAAAAAACAGAAACTTTCAGCTAATTGAAATCAGCAGGTCAGGCTTTATCACCTCTATTTCTGGAAACTTCAATACAATTTTTAACACTGAATCTGACATTAGTGGGCCTTAGTTCTGTAGGTCTCACAAATAACAGAACAAAAAAAATGAAATTAAGTTCTAGAGTTTTGTAGGGTCACCAAATACTGTACATCTGGTATGTGGACAAAATTAGAACTGCTCTATTTAAAATTGAAGAGTCAAACAATGCATTAAAAGTATTTCCTCATTCTGTGTATTTTCGTCTTAAATCTCCCCAAAATCTAATAAGTTTCGTTGCTTTGTTTGTTATTTTACACCTGTCTAAAGCTAAAACTCCCTGAACAACCTGTATAAAGTTAATGCATTTGAAAGAATGTAAATAATCATTCCTGAGATCTTGCCAAAGAAAGATAAAGCTTTGAATTATATAAAAATCTGCTGCTACAACAGCGCTAAACAGTCTACCTTGTAACAAGAGTGAAACATCTTAAAAGAATGGAGAAAGAATGAAACCCGTCAAAACTTAAAACAGATCCCCTTCTGAAACCAAATCAGGGCACTGTACTGGTTTTATAAACAAAACCATAAAACATGAGCAGTAACCCAGATTAGCTCAATATACATCATTAATCCTGCCACTGCTGGTTTCTGTTTACATGTTCTGTGTTTATCACTGTGTTATAATGGCTCGGCTCAA